TTTGTTATTTAGAAATTTTTCTGGGGATTTTTTTTTTTCTGCTATTCTTATCAGTTAACCATTAGGTTTTCATCTGTTAACTGCCATTTGTCTTACCCAACCCATACCTGATTAAGTTTATTTTTATACAAAAATATTTACCGAAAAAAGTTAAAAGAAAGACTTTTTTTTTTTGATTTCTTAGAACTTTGTCAATTGTCGATAAACATTGGTAAGCAGCAGCAGCAGCAATAAGTCTTTGTACTAAAATTACTGTCTTAAGTTCATTCAACTAATGTTGACAACGTTTGTTGGCACTGTTCAGAAGAATTGGGAAAAGAAATGACCAAAAAAAAAGAAAAACCCCTGTAATTTCGCAACAGTTTTTCAACAATAAATTTATTGTTTTTGCTGATTTTAAAGTCGCAACAAAAAAAAATTAGTCTTCTACAACTTAAATATTACTTTTAATTGGAAAACAGAAAAAAAAAAAAAAGAAGCAGTAGCTGAATTCTGAACTGCTCAGTTTTATGTTTTATCCAATGTTTAGGTGGATTGCTCATACAATAGCGATGTCTCATTCGATTGTTAATGCATTTATTTACTATGATCGAAATGCCAGGTTTCGAGAAGGATTCCGATTTTTTCTACGTTTTTTACCATTTATAAAGTTAGTTTACCGTTTTACCTGTCATTTGTCATCATCTCCTTTTATTTATTACATCATTAAACTAAACATTATATCAAGCAAAGAAAAAAAAAATCAAAATTTTTTCCTTTTTTTTTCTCTCTTAAGTGATCATTATTTTTGTATGTTTAAAACAAATTAGTTTTTTTTTTCCCCCACCTGATCATTAGTGCAAAATTTTTGTAGAATAAGACTTAATAAAATAAAAATTAAAAAAGATTAACAACAACAACAAAAACAAAAAAAGCTCCACCTTTACCGTTACATAAAGAACAAAAAAAAAAAATAAGACACCAATTTAATACATGGATAGTGCTCTGCAAAAGAAGAAAGTTCCTCTACTATTTGTACTGCTCAACTAATCTGCTGCAGTTACATTTTTTTCCCTTTTTTTTGCATATTTATCAATAATAAATATAATACCAAATTTTATTTTTTTAAAAACAATATTTTCCTGATCTGTTTGTTATAAGCACTTTTAAACATTTGGTGTTTGAAAGAAATAGTACAGCAATTTTGAAGACTAATTAAGCAAACACTGTACCTAAATGAACAATTTTTAGGACTGAGACGTTTGAGGTTTGGGTTAATTGTGGTACACATTAACTTTTAACTAAAATCAATGCCAATACATTTTTTGATAAGAGCAAAAAAATTTTCATCCATAAAGCAGCAGCTAAAAGTTGTTGTTTACGAGAAGTGTATAATCTTTGATTTACTATTTTAAGTGAAAAAAAAAACCAATAATTGAATTTATGCACTTAAATAACAAAAGCGGTTAATAAAAAAAAAAGATCAAAATGCAAAGATTAAAATTTTTCGTATACGTTTTTGGCACTTTTTTTTTGTCAGCTTTCTTTTTTCAGACTTTTTTTATCTTCACAATTTTGCATTCAAACAATGAAGTGACCAATAATGGTAAATAAGACGAAAAAAAAAGAAAAGAGAATAAATGCTAAAATTATCGTAAATGTTTGGAACAAACTAAAAAAACTGTTCTACCGAACTGATAGAGCAAAATGATGCAAAAGATAAGCAATTCCAAATTCAGTATTCCCTCTTTCTGTTACTACAGTTTTTCTTCTCCCTTTCTATTATCTTCCATCACTTTTTTCCTCCTTTTTTTCTACCTTTAAACTATCTTTTTCTCATTTATCCTAAATACCCCATTAATCTAGGGAAAAAAGACAACAACAATAAAAACAAAAAATTTTCCCATCATTTCATCATAAAAAAACTATTTTTTTTCTTCTTTTTTGTAACACCACTAAAATTCTGCTGTAACTAATATCTTAGAAAGCACCACCTGAATAATCGTTTGTTTGTTTATATTTTTTTCTTGAAATTTTGATGTAAAAATAACAACATTAGAAGAGAAGCGAAACAGAAAGGTTTATTGGTCTAATTTTACTAAGTACCTATCAATTTTTTTTTCACTGTTCAATGACAATTTGTTCACTTTTGAATGATGAAGACTTAACGTTCATCACTTTTTCCCACTTTTCATTATTTACCTTCCTCCCTATCTGCTTAGTAACTTTTGTCAATTACATAAATTTAAATACGTAAACATACAAAAATAAACGCACCTAACAATTAGATCGTATTACCCTTGTAACTATTTTATGGTCCAAAAAACTTGACATTTGATCGACTTTTACCATTTAATAACCAAAACTTAGCAAAAGTTTCGTATAGTTATTGAGCAGAATTTGTTCTATGACCATCATTTAGCGATACTGTGATGGCCATAAAACAAATTGTGCCCATTAACCCTCATACTAGCAGAAAATTAAAAGCATTTGATTACTGCAGTCAACGTTGACGTAGTCAGGCATCAGTTGCTTAGTTTGTGCTAAAAAAACGACGCCAGGAGTTACCAGCAACAATCTTAACAATCTTGTGACACCATCCATTTAGCTAGCTGTTTCTTACAATCACTGAAGCGTATACCGATGCTAAAAACATTTAAAGTCAAAAGATCTGGCTGTCGGTTTTTCTGGTTGGTAATTAGTTGCCTACTGTCTGTTCAGCATAGTTATAACAGCACAGTGAACACCAGTAACCAGATGAACAATGTTGTTTTTTTGACTTATTCGGCAGAAGGATCTCAGAAGGAACTCATAGACATTCCTGTCGCTTCGTTGGCACTCTACCGTCCTAGTCAAGTCAACAATTCCACGTCCAAAAATTTCCCCTTTCATTCCATCAAACCCATAAACTGAAATCGCAACACCACAACTAAATTAAACCAGATGTACTGATTAAAAAATTCCCTCCAAGCTTT